CTATTCTGCTCTTGTTCCTTGATGATGAACCCCTCAACAACTATACAACGCAGGTGAGATTTTTTATTTTAAGCTTGTGTATTGTTTAATTTTGTAACTATTCTGCTCTTGTTCCTTGATGATGAACCGCTCAAGAACTACACAACGCAGGTGAAATTTTATTATATTTTAAACTTGCGTATAGTCTAATTTTGTAACTTATCTGCTCTGGTTCCTTGACAACGAGTCACTCAAGAACTACACAACGCAGGTGAGATTTTATTTTATTTTAAATCGTGTATATTGTTTAATTCTGTAACTAATCTGCTCTGGTTCCTTGATGATGAGCCGCTCAAGAACTACCCAACGCAGGTGAGATAATTTAAATTAAAAGATAAAATTCTAATGAAAGTAAGTGGATCGAGGAAACACATTCAAATCGCACTTAATTTGCTGATGCAAGTAATACATTTGCTCGTCGTACGTAGTGTCTCAACGCAACAAAAAATATTTAAACTCTACGTTAGTACTCATTTCAACAGTCAAGTCCGTAGATGAATTATTCAGGAACACATCTACGGAGTTACTGTAGGCGGTAAGAAAAGTTTACTAATGAGCATCAATAACCAGACAGACAGATTCATGCGCTTCTGGGGAATTTTACTCCATAAACTTTTTGCTCTGATTATCATAACTTTCAGTGCACAAAACTTTCTGTACTACAAGCATTGAGTCTTTTATTGGCTCTCGATGGCCAAATACTACACACATACTTTACAATGTTAGCGTATTGTGAGTATCACAATTTAATTCAATATGTTGGATCATATATCGGAGAATTTTATTGTGGGATAATCACAACTGTGTCTTCGAGAAACTTTATTCTTTTTGAAACACTTTAGACTCTGTTATATTATTCCTAGAGCAAAATATTAGAGTTTTTGAGTGCATATGTGATATTTTTCTAAGTTATTACATTTTCTTTCTGATATTTTATCCTAACTTAAGGTGCACTTTTTATTTCAAATATTATCAATTCAATATATATTAATCAATAACTGGCTAATATGTGGAGTGTTGGAAGCCAACGCCTGGCTGATTCACTTAATTTTTTACCAAGATTTAGTGCTGAAGACAGGCGGGCGCTCATTCATTATGAACGATTTTTTCATTAATCTTCTCAAATCGACGTCAAACGCTCACTATTTGTGAAGCAATAAATAAGTTAAAATATTAATTATCATCAAACTTTCATCATTATCGGTCATTCAACTGTCACTGAAAGCCCTGTGTTAAAGCTTCACTTTATTTCTATTGGACTTCACCTGGGCTCAAAGTTTTCTCGTAAGAAGACAATGAGCCTTCAGAATACCCAACTTATTTTACACGTTCGATGAAGCAGCAAACATTGAAGCAGTAAAAGTTCGTGAGTGAAGCACACCCGTGAACTGCTGGTTTACTATACGTAGGTAGTAGGAGTTGTATTAATCAGCAACCGTTACACTGCCAAATAATTAATTTAATAGTTATGATTTCCTATTAATTAAATGATATACTAGCCAAGTATATTAGGCGCGGATGAAAATAGTCGCATTTGTCCGTTGAGCCAAACTCGATTAGCCTGTGACTTAGGTGAAGGGGAGAAATAGCAGACATTTTCTAGGTTTTTAGATCCTTGGTGGCATTCAAAAATTTTTTTAAACGAATTTCATATTTACAAATGAGAACAGTCGAAATTTTCCCCCATGTCAGTTGAAGTGATGCAAGCAATGAGTCCGCAATTTGATGATGTAAATGGATTTTTATTCCTGCGAATGCATTTCTAAAATTGTCAGTAATGATGGAGATAGCAGGTAAATTTGTGTCTCCAATGTTTACGACGAATATAATGGTCATAATTGTTATATGATTGCCGCAGTCGAAATAGTGTGAATAATTGAAGGTGAAGTCACTTTTTATTTGCTTATATTTTATGTTTATTACAATTAAAATTTTTTACTCTGATGCAGAACGTATTTGATTAGTAGCATGAGGTACAATTTTTAAATTTTTATACATATCGAAGTTCATTTAACGGAAAATTCTTATATCTCATTTGTACGCAGCAGGATAGTCAACTAATTTACATGATAAAGTTGGAATTAGTGAACAAAAATTTTTCACCAACTGGTAAACCTACTGACAACATCCTACGGTCATGTGTGCTTTGACTTTCGTTATTGACTTAAAAAATTATGTCGGTTTTACAGTATAACTAAAATTACGAGCAAAATCACGAATGTTGGAAATTTTTGCTTTTCATCGCTAAATCTGTTTTTCAGCTGCTGGGTTAGTTTTTTCAAAAATTTATTTATTTCTTTAAATTTTAGACAAATTTATGTGATTCTATCGAATACGTGCAGTATATTAACTAATTTATAATCTGATAACATAAAATTTGCAGTAAACTTCTTATATTTAGTTATAATGTTAATTGGTTTAGTATATTTATTGCTGTAACACTTTAATTGTGTTTAATAATTAGAAATGTTTAGGTAACTTTACGTGGGATAATCCAAGTTTGGGGATAAAACAAATTCAATATTATATATTACTTGATATTATTATTTAAGGCTATCATTTATTCAAACTTGTGGGAAGTGGCGTCTGCAATAATTATAATACAATTCACTGTCGTGCTTTTTAATTCGTAATACGGAAACTAGTTATTATGCTAGTTTCAACAGCTTTAATATTACTATTCGATATTATTTTCATTTCTATTGCTTTACTATATTCTATTGTCTCTCCATCTTTCTATAGTGTCACTCTGCAGTCCTGCGCTTTGGAAGCTTGACGACTTCCTATAATCTTGTTTTACAGTAGTTACAAAAATAAATTCAGATGCTTCTTCTGTACAGATTTTGATGATGGTATAAAATATAAGTTGACTTTATGCATTACATTTGTTCGCGTAGATTTCAGAATGTTGTACAATAGCAAGCTGAACAATATGTTAGCTTCCAAACAAAGTTGACATGTGTACTAACGCGTAACAAGATGTTGTGGAGACGACTCATGCTCATGATTAGGTGCAAGTGTACAGAAAAGCTATCAGAAGGAATGCTCTATGATTTACTTAGTCTACGAGAAGAAAAGTATCTTAGTGAAAACATTCGTGTCACAAGTCGAGGGAAGAACAGCGTTCGGGACCAACAACACACAAAATAAACAATAAAGAATTAATTATGATAATTCTTGATCTCTTTCTTACGAACAAATATATTTATCATCCTATATTTACATGAATGAGACGAACGATCGATGAAAGTTATAAATTAAAGAGAATGGATTGTTTCTACACAAAACGACAGATCAGAATTCCTGTGTTTGGAGCATCTCTATAGCAACAATATGTACAGCAAACCATAACACCGTGGTGAGGCAGAAGAAGACGGAAAACTCGAATAATAATATTAGTTACAGCTAACTATATTCCCCTCTCACAACAAAATAATATCGGCCTGCCAGTGGGTAACATATGCTTTACTTCTGCAAGGCCGCTACAGATCTCGGGTAAGGCTTATATATGTCATGACCTTTTCCATTCATTCGCACCAAATTCCCGTCTCTCTTTTACAAACAAAACATACGTAATTTGCAATATCATCTTGTGATTATCGATGAAAAATGGCAAACCATTCAAGTACTGAATACCGGTTAAAATTAATTGAAACTAGCAGGTGGAAAAAGTGAATTTAACCTTATAAGTTATTGAAGAATCGTGTATCTTCTTCCACAGAGTTTTTTCGGGATAAAAAACAATGTGTCATGAAACATAACGAATAAAAAAATTTTAATGGTTCACCAGTCATTAATAGATGGACTACCTACATGCTCACGGATAGATCTCTGACACAAGTCACACTGGTTCAATTATCAGTCAATCCTTTAATTACAAGTGATCACTTAGACAATCTATTCCTCTAATTTCAGGTCATACGACGTGTAAACAATACGTTTAAGATAAAAGACGTCTGATTTCAGACGGACAGTCGTAAACTTCAAGGAAGCGACAACAAACTTGCAATAATAAAGCGGTGGGTCGAATCTAGGACTGCAGAATCAGCCCTAGAAGAGTGAGAAGTAAACTACAGCGTAGAAGTGGAAACAGTAGTAGGAGACACTGAGACCAAGATGCGTGGTAGATGTAACAGGGATGCATGATTTATTTCTAACCTCTTGCAAAATAATGAAATAACGCTATCGATTTATGCACCGAAATGTAGTGTTTTATAAGTAATCAGATATCCGGTTCTTGTTGGAAGTAGCGGACGTCTTCCATTCACCTGAAAACCTGAGAGGCGGCGGATTGGTTTTGAAATGAAGTGCTGATTTTGGCGGGCCGGTCAGAGTGTACGGAAACAAAAACTGTCCTCGTATGAATATTTCGAGTTTCAGTTCAAAATTATCATTGGAGAGAATAGATCGATCATAAAGTAATTGTTACAGTCTAATTCTCGGATGAAATGTTGTAGGGAGCACTTCTCCGACATTTTCCGAGAGTATCTTTATTTTATTGTTACCATGATGCAATAAATTGAAAGGCCTCACGATCTATTGGTGTTGTTTTCTCTCCAGTAAAAACAGTTGTCGCAGTTACAAGTCACCTGAGTCAACCAGAACTCATTAGCATAATAGATTCATAAACGAAAAAATGCTTGAATGAACAAAATATTAGAGATCACACATCTAGGGAATTAAACCTATCTCGGTAGACAGCGCTGTCTAATATATTTCAATTACTAGAACACTGTAATTAAGAGGCCTGGACTTGCTACGGCATGCGCGTCAAAAGTGAATTCGGGCCATGACCAAATTTTTCGCCAGAGTGGAATTCAAGGTCACGAAGCAGCGCCAGCGCTCTGACGAGCGTCAACATTTCCCAGCAGTTTGCCAGGAATAATATGCTCGGAGCCTTGCTTAGCTCTGAAATGTGCGCTATGCAATGCCAGATACTAAAATGTGTCTAGAAAGCGACACAAGCCAACGCACGCAGAGGGGGTTGGGTGGGATGCGGTTCTGCAGAAGCTGACACATCGTTTTGCTGCGCTACAACTTTCTGCATGCGGATAGCAGCAGCGCTGGAGAGACGCGCTCTCCAGTCGACCGGCTCGAGCTGACCCACTTAGCATGTAGGGCGCTCTCGCCCCCTCCCTTGACTCACTCTCTCCCTCTGCGCAGCCCCGCAACTCATGGCAGCCATCCTGCCCTAAGCCAATACCCTCGGGCACTGCTGTGTTACAAAGTGGCATTGCACTGCGACAGACTTTTAAGCGAATAGTAAACTTCTTCTACGAGTGGCTAATCAATTATTATGGATGAAACACAATAATGAAAGAAGAATAAATAATTTATGTGTACAAGCATAACTTCAGGTCCTTCTCCATTGTGACACTGATCAAAAAGGTATCGAAAATTCACCTGAAAATATACACGGAAATATTCCCCGTGAGCCTAATAAACCTTTGAAATTGTATGTGATGCTGACACCCTTTAACAGATTTTTCATTACTTTTTCCGTTGTAAAACAGTTGCGTTTGATTAATGTAACCACGGCCAAATCTAAATTTCCCCAAACCGATTGTAATCTGATAGTTCGTTGCAGCTGCTGATACGAATTTTCAATCGTTAATTTCATTACATAGTCGAGCAATAATGATCTTTCTGAAATAATGAATGTGATTTTGTTTTCCACAATTCTAGTGGGCCCTGAAGCTCATGTAATAGTTTGTGATAAGGGCTAGACAGTAAATCAAATAAATTTAGTTCACAATAAGTTTTACTTTAACTCCTGGCTATTTGTAGAATTATATGCCGTTCTTTTATGAGCTATTCGTACCGCCCCAACATATATGTTTGTCAAAATTGTAGGCGAAATTTCGACACTCATCTTTCAATGTCCACCGAGAATAATCAACAGCAAACTCAAGTAATCTGCAACAGTAATACCCACAACGAGCAATCGATTTCGAAGATAGGAAATAAATAAATAAATAGATAAATATCTCTGGTTCTATCTGGAGTCCTTTTAAATTTCGTCAGGCATTTCATTATGGTACATCGTTTGCCAAGGACTCTGTACTTCCAGTCAATCTCTTGCTCCTCTTTTATGTATTTGATAATGCTTCAACAGATGTGCCTTTTGGCGGAAGGCTTTGTTGCAAGTCTCACATCTGAAAGGTTTCTCTCCTGTGTGCGTGCGGAGATGAACTTTGATATTGGATTTGTTGAGGAAGCCTCTGTTGCAGACGGTGCAGTGATGAACAGGTTTGTCCTTCGTCCCTTCGGTTCGTATTGCTAACTTTGTACTTTTGTTCAGCCGACTGCGATTTTTTCCTTTAAAATCTCCATAATCGTAACCTAATTGTGTTGAAGATAAATCCGAGTCTGGCGATCCTAGCTGAGTTTGCTCCATGTATCGAGGATCGAACTTGGTCACTAAAATATCATCCGTTGTAGTGACAGTATAGCTCGTCACGTCAGTCGAATGAGGAGTCGAATCCTTGCAGGGGTATGAACCGTATCGACTGAACATTGGATCAGTTTTCAACAAACTTGGGCTCAAACTGTTCAACGAATCTTTCTGAGGTTGAGTTAATTTGTTGTATAATATAGGCTGCGCCTTTTGATAGCTGTCTTCAGACATTGTTATTCCCTGGAGATAGGAATTGGTGTTGCTGTTGTTTACAGTCCCAGCTGCCAATAAGGCTTGAAGTGGGGTGTGGATTGGTTGTTGGTGCATGTGCTGGTGGATGTGGTGGTGGTGATGGGTGGAGTAATCGAGAGTTGTGTGCAATGAAGACGTTGTTGAAGGTTGGTTTTGTGAATCCAGTGAAGACAAGTCAGAATTTGGGGAAAGCCCTGAGTTGGTGACATTATCAGTCATATCTGATTTGTTCATGTCCAGCATCAGCCAATCGTCGATGGTGAGCGAGGGTTCAGGTAAGGACGGCTCAATTTGATCACTGAAAGCTATAGGCTGAGTTGGATGGCTGGTGTCAGTGTTAGCACAACCGATCATCGAAGCCAAATCATCGATGTCGTCAGCTCCAACGAACGTATCATGTTCCTCCTGTTTTACGGACACGGCAGATGATGACAGAGGAGATGTGGTCGTCGACACAGGTTCGGGAGTACCGCTGTAGCCGAGGAATGTGTTACTTAGCAAAGCTCCTCGATAAATTTGCCCTGATGGAGAACATTCACTGTTATTTATGGAGTCGTGGTGTCCTAGAGAGGTATCTGGGGATACGTTCAGATAGTCCATTGGTTCCAACGGCTTTAACTCCGCTAGAGTCGAATTATGATTTTGATACTCCCTCATCATGAAAGGATCGTAAGAATCCATGGTGGTTTTAGTCTCGGAGGACTGGTGTGAGTGCCGCGTGTCGAAGAGATCTTCATGAGACCACGTACGAAGGGCATCGGCCGATGATGGGTGGGGCTGGATTTTCATGAGGAAAGACAGCGCGAAGGTCAAGTGTAGGGTCGGAGGAAAGAAGGACTGTCCAGGGCATGTAGATTGTGAATGCTTAGTTCAATATTTGATAACTTACGACCGCATTGCCGGACTGAAGAAAATCTGGAAATACATTCAAAATTTAGAAAATTTGAAGAATGGGCCTGCACTGAGTATAATTTTTATATTTTTTCAATTGAATACATACATAAAAGACATGATAGAGTTGATACTCATTTACTTGTCAAATATTGCAAAAATTTTCACTTCTTGGACTCTCACTAATAATTGTGTGCGTAATATTTTACTACGTCTACTGTGTGCATCAGTTTTCATTGAATTATTGAATTAGAATTGCATTTACAAATATTATGCCTAGATTCTGAGTTCACCCGTACTTAATGAAAATTGCAATTGAACCAAATGAAAACCACCAGTCCTTAGCCCTTTCAAGTATTGCAATACGACCTGAATATTATCTCATTTTGTGCCTTAAATTAATCTATAACCTTCTTTATGCCATTTCTAACTAAAAATAATAAAATAATACCCACTTAAAATCCTGCCAATGTCACGGAAGTAAAATTTGGCGAGGGCAGACGAGGGCTCGGAGACATATGAAGATCACCTGGGACAGAAGGAAACAATTTAGATTTCGCTCATATCGATTCCATGAAACAAACGAATACTTTTTCTCTGTATATAGCTGTGAATCCTGTAATTAAAAGTTTGTTGATTACAGAATGATAGTTTAATTAGTGGCATAAATTTGTCGAATTTCTGTTCTGTGACCTGTGTTTGGGCGAAAAAGACAAAACGAAAAAAATATTCTGAAGTTTGAAAATTAGAGCGTGGAAATCTGGTGACAGCTTTTTCCACTTTCGCAAATGAAACGTAGGCGCTGAAAACGATGAATGAAATATTTTGCGACGCAGATCTAAACAAGAAGGCTGTAGTTCATCGCTTAATACTTATTCATCAGCTCTGGAACGAGTGACAGTGAGCATTTGAAGCGGCATTGAACTCTGAGAAGCCGCGCGTTAAGAAAAACTACATCGCCGCAAAAGCCGGCCGCTCAGTCATTCTTAACCGGGAAGAGAAACTCGAGGCCGCTTTGCAATGAAAGGGCAATTGAGGCGTTATTCAGGTTGGCAAGTTTGCCGAATTGGCTATCATCTTGACTACATTCTAATGAAGATCTGGTTTATAAAATGTCGTACAAAATTTCAACATCACACCATTACAATGGGAAGTAAATAATCCTAATAGAGAACAAATTCCAGCATAACTACTAAGTCCAGTCAATCTCATTTTCTCAATACCCCATCGCGGTTACTTAGCGGTCTCTGCCATTGCTAATATTTTTGGTAAAAGCGTCGTCGCTGCTTTAATATTTTCGTTTCATTTTTGGCCAAAAATATTCTTCTTGTAGTAAGCCATGTTCGAGATTGTATGAAACTCAAAGAAAATTCAGCAGTATTACTAAGTTCTTAAAAAGTAATATTGAATTGAAAATTTTGAAATCATACTTAAAACAATCGTATATATATAAATTCCAATCAAGTGAAATAAGGAATCAATGAAAATGTTAAAACCCGAAGAATATTCCGGAAATTCCGCGGACATTTTAAACGATGGAAATGTTATATGAGCAGGCATGCCTAATAACTGAAAGTCATGATTGCTTCTGCATTCAAAATTACCAAGCCAAGAAAATACTAGAAAAAATAATGAATTATTACAATCCAATGATTTGTTTAATCCAATTAGATATTACTAATAATAATTATAATTCGAACGAGAGCTTAACGAACAAATATTGAATAAGATTAATTATAATGTTGTCATAGAATGGATTTTTTATCGATGAGGAAAGAAAAAAATATAGGGCAAAGCTTCAAGCAATTTCTCCTTTTTGACTTTTAGTTACTGCAAGGAACTCTATAACGTATAACAATCCCGAAAATAAGACCGGAGATGCTGCGGCTACGCAATTGCGAGCCAAGCTTTGAGTTCGTTGAACTTGTCGGTAAAACTTTCTTCTCTCGAGTGTCCTATTAAACTCTCTCCGGCGCCTCCTGTGCGCGCGCCGTATGTGCGTGCAGCTGCTGACGGTGGCGGAGGTGGGGCGGCAGGCCCTCGTTCTGGGGTGACGAAGGCACGCGGTACACCGGAACCTAAAGACTGGCGGGAAACATTGGTTCCCTCACATTTTGTCTTTGCGTACCACTTGGAGGCTCCGTGTGGTCTCTACGAATCACTTATATTACATATTAGCTGCCATTTTCATTATTAGGTGCATTGCGTCTTAAAAAAGCAGTAATAACTTTCGTATTAAGTAAGCGATTTGCTTGAATAAAATGATTTAGCTGCTGGGACCAGATACGCAGCGGGCGGTTACAGTCGGAAATCGCTTTAAGATTATCTTAAAATTTGCAGTAAAAATTTTAGTGAAGTAAAAACTAAACAACTGAAAATCGTGTAGCACCCCGAAAGTGTTAGCGTATACCACTTGCAAGGCCCTCGAATATAACACAGGCGATTCACGTACCAAAGTTTGTGACAATTTCATTAAATGATAGAAATTAATTTTTTAATGTAATTAATGTAAATAATTTTATGCAGCGTGGCAATGCCGAAACTATAGCGCACTCCAAACCTTAATGGATGCAAATGACTATCAGAGGCAGGTCATCAGGGCTAAAACTATATACACGGCGCCATTTAAGCCTTGAAGCGCATGTCAATGAAAGGGCATGCAGTACAACGATGCAGAAACTCTGCCGTACTTTGCATTTTTGAGGATGCGGATTGATAATACGGAGCATGCAGTAAAGCAAAGTGAAAACTGTGTCGCATAGAAGAGTTATCGTCTAAACTGCGGATGTGCAGCTGTTTATCTATACCAATGAACATTTCGGAATAAAACAACAATGGCTAATTTGACGTATGTGTGAAAATTATGACTTTCTCAGATAACCCGAAATTTATCGTGATAATCCTACATAAATTGCAAGTAACCATGATATTTTCCTACTTATTGCTTGATTAATGGAAAACCATCATTATTTTTCTCTGCGAATTGCCGGGTATCAAGATATTCCTTACAACATATCATGAAATAATTTTATTAATTAAACGGTATCACAATGTTTTTTACGACATGATGACAATTGAAGTGTTGATGATGGCAGGTTTTGTATTTTGAGAAAATAAAATACAATTTTAATCCTTTTTATCTACTAAGTATATATACAGCCGAATATTGTGTGCTTGCTGAAGACTCAAGGATTGATTTGTATGCTAATGAATTAATAAATAATTGTTCAATAATAATAATAATTCAATTAATAATAATAAATAATAAAGTCAAAATAGAATTTTCGTGTCAAAAATGGACAAAATGTGTTGAAATGAATACCCGTTTGACGAAAAACAGCTTCTCAACGGTTGTCTCTCCGGGGGAAATTCAATGCACTTTAGATAGCAATCCGAACTTCAGTTGCAAAACATGTGCGTTCTGTGCTTCTTCCGAGAGAAAGCTGAGGAAATGATAAAAATTTGCTAACAAAAGGCTTGAATGACTGTAAGTCGTCGCTGACGAATAAGTTAGCGGTAACGACAGCCCCTACGAGTGAGACTCAGTGTTTTGAAGGTGACAGAAGGTCGAACGAAGGACTTTCTCTCGGTGACTGACAAGAACTAGAAGCCGGAACAAAGCTCACGGATCGAACCAGAAACGCTGGGCTTCTTCGATGACGACGCTTTTCCTAATAGCTTTTGTGGTTGCTGTGTTGCGAAAGATAGCCGGTGTCAGCCAGAACCTCATAATCGGGTACATTAAAGGCTGGAAACCCGGAAATTCTTATACGGTACAAATTTCGAGGGCAACATGGAGGAATTCATAGTTTATGTTGGTTGCAATGGGATGTTTCGGCGGTCACATAATTCTTGTACTTCTTGTACGCGAAGGTTGAAATTTACGTTGTCATCAGTGGTGTTAAAGAGGATTCATTCCGAAAGGAATTTCCCCTTAAATGTGAATGAATAAAATTTGGTTTCCCATGAAAAGTGAATAAATTTCTATCTTTTTGGCTTGGGAAACAATATTGCGCAACGATTGCTAGTTCAGCAAAAACTTCCTGATCGGACGCGCAGCTCGAAATGCATTCCCGAGCCCAAGTCGTCTAACGGACTCTGAAGGTCGCTTAAAGAAAGTCCAGCAGCGGCTCAAGAGAAACTTGTTGTTGACCGCGCCGGTGCGGTGGTTGAGTGCGCCTCTCGGCTAAATGGGAGGCGAAGGAAGACATGAGAACCAAAAGAAGGAAGAATAAACAATGAATAGAAAATAGAAAGAATCGTTCGCGATACATTTGTAATAAGTTTAAATTTCAATTACGGTTGTTCGTATGAATGCTAGAAGACTACCACATCGATGCTCGAATTAGATGTTCTAGAAATTACATTGAGAATCTCATTATTTTTAATAACTCCCGTAAGATAATATTCTCATTGGAGTCCTGCTTGAAAAAAATCTAATTTAGTTTATTTAGAGAAGAAGTCACTCTCTCAATGAAAATCCTAAACAAAAAATTTCAGATCAAGGTAATAACACGATACCGAAAATATACGCGTTCGAAAAGCCATTATACATTTTCAGCAAACATTCATAAATTTATATCGATTTACCGTGATCACTATATTCATAAAAAAATATTTGCATGTCCCTTTCCTCAGCATTATACATAATCGTAAAATTCTCTTTCAATGCCTGAAATATTCTCGCATGTTCAAATTCCGACTACTAACATTTACGGAGCTGAAAGTTTGAACATGAGAATATTATTGTGACCGTCGCAAGCCACCGAAAAATATGAACGATTCGACAATTTTGGTGTGGATTAATTTGGAAAATATTCTTGATTGTTTAATTTGAAATGTATTTTATTTTTATTTTTACACCTTATAATAAGAATGAGGTGTAATTCCTCTTTAATCAGTAAAAGTACTAGTGCGGCGAGGGGAAGCAGCTGCCGCAGTAAGCGAAAACAGGAGAGTAGGTGGTAGCAGCTGCAGCAGAAACATCTGCAATAGAAGCAGCTGCAGAAAAAGTAGCAATTAAAACTAAAGTAACAAATAAAATAGATCGGATCCGCTGCAAGGAGAAACAACTTTGGATAAGCAGCAAGGAGAAGGAATTTTGGTCGTACTAAAAAGAGCCGATGCTGATGGAGATATAGCAGTGACTGTCTTGAAGAACTAAGTGCCCGTTCCAAAGGGTACAGGATGAGAAGGTGCAGCTTCAAGTACAGCGGAATTCGGAAACAGTAACGCATACAACATAGCACGTAGCAGTAACATAGAATGCCAAAAGCTCTAGACAGAAGCTTCATTACATAACAAGAACCAAAAAGTGACAGCAGCAGGGATACAAAGATAGAACCAAAGATCGACTGCAGCAAGAATTCAAAAATAGAACCAAAGAGCGACTGCAGCAGATTCAAAGATAGGACCAAAGAGCGACTGCAGCAAAGATTCAAAGATAGGACCAAAGAGCGACTGCAGCAAGGATTCAAAGATAGAACCAAAGAGCGACTGCAGCAAAGATTCAAAGATAGGACCAAAGAGCGACTGCAGCAAAGATTCAAAGATAGGACCAAAGAGCGACTGCAGCAAGGATTCAAAGATAGGACCAAAGAGCGACTGCATCAAGGATTCAAAGATAGAACCAAAGAGCGACAGCAGAAAGGATTCAAAGATAAAACCAAGGAGCGACTGCAGCAAAAATTCAAAGGTAGAACCAAAGAGCGACAGCAGCAAGGATTCAAAGATAGAACCAAAGACCAACTGCAGCAAAAATTCAAAGATAGGACCAAAGAGCGACTGCAGCATGGATTCAAAGATAGAACCAAAGAGCGACTGCAGCAAGGATCCAAAGACAGAACCAAAGAGCGGCTGCAGCAAGGATCCAAAGAAAGAACCAGAGAGCGACAGTAGCAAAAGCCACCAAGCAAGATCCAAGCAATGACAGCAGCAACTGATACATTCCTATCAGGTGGATCAAGAGATGCAGCGCAAGGATTAGACAGCGGCAGCAACAAATGCAACGAAACAAACATGTGCGGCAGAGGAGAAGTATTAATGGCAGTACGAGAAGCATCTGTGGCAGTACAAGAAGCATCTGTGGCAGTACAAAAAGCATCTGTGGCAGTACAAGAAGCATCTGTGGCAGTACAAGAAGCATCTGTGGCAGTACAAGAAGCATCTTTGGCAGCAAGGGAATAAACGGTAGCAGCACCAGAAGCGTCAACACAAGAAGCATCAGAATATAGTAGCACAAGCGGAAACATGAGAAATCAAAGCGTCACCACGGAAAAAAACATGAAAAGCACCTGAAGCAGCAGCGCGAGAAGCACCAGTACAGGCAAAGAAGCACCAGCAGCACGAGTAGCACCAGCACCAGCAGAGGAGCACCAGCACAGGCAAAGAAGCACCAACACAGGCAAAGAAGCACCAGCAGCACGAGTAGCACCAGCAGCAGCACGTGCAGCAGCGGCAGAAGTTGCTCGTGCAGCAGCGGCAGCAGCAGCTCGTGCAGCAGCAGCAGTATACAGGTCAATGTCGGCTGCGTGCTTTCACTCCGCCGTGTCAATGAACTTCAGAGGCTGAACGCTGAGCCTCTTGCGTGTGAGGGAAGACCGCACACGCATGCGTGCGTTCTATTGTGCTTCTTTTTTAACATATTTATATTTCTAGCGAATGAATTGAGATTGAGAGTTTAATGGAGCATCATTATTCGAAAACCTTATTTTTGTAGCGGCAGCTATAATTTTCAAGTAATTTTATTCGAGATAAAATATCACAGATGAAACCAGCTAAATCTGATGGTTTAGTTTTATGTTACTTGCGAAGAGCGGAAATTAGTGTTATAATATAACACTGTTTTAACCTATAAAAAATGTTATAATATAAAACTGTTTCAACCTAAAATAAGTATTTTAATATAGCACTGTTTTAACATGAAATTAGTGTTATAATATAGCAAAGTTTTAATCTAAAATAATGTTATAATATAGAACTGTTTTAACCTAACAATAGTGTTATTATAAGCACTGTTCTAACCTAAAATTAGTGCTATTATTTAACACTGTTATAACCTAAAATTAGCGCTATAATATAGCACTGTTATAACCTGAAATTGGTGCTATAATATAGCACTGTGGTGGCCTAAAATTAATACGAGTTTGAACGGGGAGGGGACATGATTCAATTTTTGAAGCCAAAATATTTTCTGTAACGGAATTTGACGAGTTTTGAATTCATACGCCACAGTCTTTAAAATTGACTTCAGCAGCCTTAATATAATATCAAATAAAAATTCGTTACAGTAGCCTTAAAATAATATCAAATAAAAATTGTTTCAGCAGCCTTAATATAATATAAATTAAAATAAATTGATTTCAGCAACCTTAATATAGTATCAAATAAAATTGTTTCAGCAGCCGTATTATAATATCAAGTAAAATAAATTGATTTCCGCAGCCTTAATATAGTATCAAATACAATAAATTGGTTTCAGCAGCCTTAATATAACATCAAATAAAATTTTACAAAAACGAACTCCAGAAGCGCTCATTCTCAGAGGTCAAGGATTCGTTCATGAACACTTGTACTTAATATACATACTACCGACGAGACAAGCAATCATGGATGGCAACAAAGAAACGACACTTCAAATGACAATCTTGATGCGTGATGCACTAGTATATCGTATGAATCGGAACACTTAAAAAATAGTTAAAAAAAGACTTCAATTTGTGGGGAGATTGGGCGAAAATTTATCTAAGAAAGCAATAAGTCGGTCACTTAAGGTATATTAATTAACAAAAATATTCGAATCCTTCATTATTAAAATTCATGAACTCGAAAATCAATGTGCACAATTAGAAAAAATGGTTATTAAAAGCAAACCGATATTATTTCTTACCAGTATTCCAGCTAAAGAAACAAGAGAAAAAGAGGATAAGTCCATTTCAGATTAATTTATAACTACGCATCTCTAAAGAAAACGAGGCTGCGTTAAGACAAAAGCACGCGCGCAATCGGGAAAAGATTAATCGTTGTCGATCGTTGGCTGAGCAGAGTTTCTCCGGTAATGTCATGACGTCGCTGGAGCCTCGATCCATTATAGCTTCCAGAGTTCCGGTTACGCTACAGTGCGAGTGGCTCGCTGCAAGCAAAGCTTCAAGTCTTGACTTTCTCTCAGAGAATTTCTGGTCTGCAGACACATAGGCGGCATGTGGTCCCATTGCATGGTAAGTACATGCGAGCAGTAGATGGCAATATGGTATGCGACGCTTGCATGAACCTGCATAGGTTCTACCAATTTTCCATTTGGTCACACGAAACAAAGGTGGTTTAAATGTAGTCAGTATGAAGGGAATAACCTTTCATGAATGAGTACGACTTTCTAATGGCATTTAAAACCGCTCAGTGAACGATGTGATGCAGATGGATACGTTGGACACGTGAGTACCTAGAGTTAAAATAAACTGTAGCGGCGTTTTAGCCAAATCGTAATTCATAAGCACCCAAGGAATTTGTAAATTGAAGCGAGCAATGACCCGGCAATTTGAATTTTTATTGCATGAGAATAGTTCATGGCCACTTTCATAGTGTCAACGATAATAATGATTTAATGGAAAATACTAATGAATTTGCAATTATATACACAGACACTAATATAATTTCACGTGGATTGAGCTTAGTAACAGAAAAATGATGTGATGTAGATAAATAGAAATGGGAAGTAATGTCAATAGCCTGTCTAGCTGAAAAACTTGCGCATTTCATCTTATTTGGTTGAAACTTAAAGCACCCACAACCGATTTATTAGGGAAATATAAAAAATATTTGGCTACTCATGATCATAATATCATGGTTGAAATATGTTATTGTTTTAAGGTACTAAATATCTCCTTGCAACTCTTTAGAGGCGCTAATAATACAGTTACCTTTGCCAAAAACATGCGCAGAACCTTCAAATTTGTCATTCCATAGGTTCGTGATTCTTTCTCATTAAAAAAACAATAGATAATGAGATAATGCATGATAATGAAGAAATAATGAGTATGCAGTAGTGACCACTTTTTCTTTCTTTGTTTCGCATGGTTTTTGCCGACAAGACCTTGCTCTCGAATCATCGGTCGACGCCGAGTTCATGGCTACTGTGCGGACGACAGCCATCATGACGAGGGCTTCAGACAGGCTTGTAAATTTACAGCGATTACGGTGAGATGTAAAAGTATCAAGTTCCTTAAATACGAGTGCAATAAAACCATCACGAACGAAACGAATTCCTGCTACTTTGATATAGTGGGATTAACGGGTTCTTTGTAGTTTACAATATTGTTCAAAGAGGAACATATTTTGGTTGTGTAAGACGTTTGCGTAGAACCAAAATTCAAGTGACATTATCGTTTTGTAAACGTTCTTCAATGGCAAAATGCCGAGGATTTATTTACGATTTTACATCGCTCTCATATATAAATATATATACGGTTTATAATCTTTGTAGCCATTAGGACAAATGTATGGAACAAATTGAACATATTATTGAATTAATTGATATAATAAACATTATAAATTAAACTTATTTATTCGAAGTCATCGTAGTTTAATAATTCTTTAGAGTAATCTTTCCCATCACTTAATATGTAATATGAATACTCGGAGCACCGTATATAGGTGCATTCTTATAGACTTGAATTTTGTTCAAGATCCACTCTGATCCACAGTTTCATTTATTCAATAAAATAAGAATTCTGGCAGCATATTCCGGTCATTATACAATTTTAGTTGGTTTTGGTAGATAAGAATAACATCCCATTCGTATATAATTATTTACAGAAACATTTTATTTAATTTAAAGAACTCACGTGGGAGAAGAAATTTAAAGTCAAGCGGGAAGCCAGTCCGCGCCCTGCAAAGTAAGAGCTCACAATTAAGTCACTTATTTCATAATATTGTTAAATGAATTAAAAATTATAATTCGACAGTGAAAGATATCTAATCTTTTTATTATTGAATAGGTTAATGAGGACCCAAGAGCATATAGGAGAAAGTATGAGGATAATTTTTGTGTTTACAAATTTGAAAAGGAGAAAAATTTGTGAATGAAATAGCACTCAAGTTTCAGCTCACTTAGAAATCCCGATCATTGAGATTACGTAAAATGTACTTGAAACTAAAGTTATGCAAAAATGTTAGCATGTGACGTAAACAAATTGTGGTAGAACTTCGTCTAGCTGTTGACGATTTGAACTTCGTCTAGCTGTTGTTAAAAACAAGGAACTGTTGCAACATTAAAAAAATATTCCTAGATGCCTCAGGTTAGAGATTTAGTACATTGATTTAAGAATTACATGAACAATGTTTTCGAAAATTTTCGTCATGGAAATAAGTGGACTCATTCTGCGTTAATTACTGTGGGTGTTACAATCAAAACCATTCACACATTAGAAGACATGGAAAAATTTTTACGCCAGTTATTTATGCGCTCTAATTCTGGTCACTAAGCAATCATGGTTGTCGATTGATGGTTAATAGAATTAGAGTCTCGTCAAACATCTAAAATATTCGTTTATGAAACACTCAATCAAAGTAGATACTTTGTAAAATAAAAATCAACTATTTGAATGATAGACGGATTACATGCTCATCAAAAACGTTGATCCGTTCATGAAACCAAGTAGATCATTTACGAAAGACAGAGAAGTAAGGGAATAGTCTAATTGTTTCGAAGAAATGTTATAATACTGCAGGTTATAGGAAAGACAAGAACATTTTTCTTCCGATTTCGTCCGAGTATATTTTATTTTCAAGTATTTTGTTCATTTAAAATTGTCATCATATAAGGCAATTACTCACAGTATTGATGCGATACGTACCCCACTTTTTTGGGAACGTTATATTAATTTGGTAATACTAGATCCACCTTATTTAAAGGCAGCACTTAAACTTGGAGCAGTTTTAGTTGTTAGTGACGAAGCTCTTCTTCCGAGCTGATGGGTTTTGGCCCGTACTTACAATGGTGGTGATGAGTCAGCTCGTGAAGGTAGTCTGTTCGAGAAAATCTGCCGGGAAGAAGTATGATACTTTGGTTTGTCTTATGTTCAAATTGTATTATGCGTATTAGTCTAGGATCCAATCAACAACCAAGGGGATATAAACACACAGAGTTACAGAAGACCCTTGTCCAATTCACCAGGCATCATAACAATGTCAACTTTTATGAACCAAGTCCACACTCAAGTATCACAATCACCCCGAAAAATAAACATTGGACAGTCAGTTGTAAGAATTAGAGGAGGAACAGACAGGACACAAATTAACTGATTTGTTCCACTTACCAACGCCTCCCATGTTTCAACTCACCACGTTGAAGAGCCCAATCCACCTGTCGAGCGCGCTGTAGCCACCACACCATCACTCTTCCATCTGCACATTAAATGTATTATAAGATCACTACGTATTTATTTTTCTTGAGTCCTCGTAAAGATTTTATACTCACAAATCAAATACTGTACTGTCACGTAGTGCTGTATACCCAATAAAGCTGCTGTTTGAATTAGATTCTATCAAATTCAATTCATATGTGAAAGAAACAGTCCAGCGCAATGGCGCTTTGGTTTGTAGGATTTCGGGCTGCCTGCGGGCAAAAAATTCGCAACCGAGGCTCGAGCAACTTAGTTGTGGCAGTGCTCCCGTAGCTCCTCCAGAAGATGGAGTTATCGAGCAAGCTCTGCCATGCAAGCATGAACTTTTGCAGGCTTCGACTGCATCATAATGAATATTTACAAAATTTATAAACTTGATTGAAGCAATCAAGTAAATTTATTCTGTAGAGGGGAAATCTCCAAATATGGATTTATTCTCAAGTATTTAGCATAAATTAATTCAATCACTTGTACAACTTCATAAAAACTTCTCAAATGCATGTTTAAACTAAAATATACAAATATTAACCAACATTTTTTGCATTCTGTTCATGGGTTTAATATGTAACCTAAATTTGAAGCCCCAAATCGGGGAATTATGCTTCGTTTTATCAGTAAACGGCAGAAACCAGCTCCCAGCCCCAGGCTCTCGGTCACGGGGACAAGCGAGCCATGAACCGGAGGCCCTCGAGAAAAAAGAACTCGGGCACACACCGACAGACTCGCCTTAACTGACAGTGACGTTTGAAATTTACATCCATTTATTATTACCGGCGGCCATTTTTATGCTAACAATGAAAATTTTTCGACGAGCTCATGTCCTCCGATAGGATGACAGAGTAACGTAATAAATTGTAAGGGAAAAGGAACATGAATTTATAACCGAAAGCGGACGAATTTTCAGGGCTGGATGGATGAAATGCACGTTCGATTAATTACTGTCCATTGGTGTTTTTTCAATACTTCAATTACATAACAATTAACATTGGCAACGCATCTGGGTTTGGATTAAATTTAGATGCCTAACTGACGACCTTGAACCTGGGTAAATTATTGCAGCTAGCTTTGGGTTGACACTATAGCTTAACTAAGACCTTTGCGCCATTGCTGAATGTTTTAATACTTAAATTACATCAGGAAAAAGATTGTGTTAACTTTGATTATTTTGTAACTAACTGCAGCATCAGTGGAAATTGGTTCCTGAAAGAGTAATTTTGCCACGATGTCAACTACTCCACAATTCTTATCACATATCTAGCAATACAAAGTTAGATAAAATTTTAAACGAAACTTGTTTGCCTTAAGAAGTTGATTTCAAGTCGAAAAATGCAATCAACACTCGCTGTGTTGTGGGCATAACTCACCATCAGAACAACAGGAAATGGTCATGGGTTCAAAAGTATGACCTTCCATTTAGATAATGAAAACTATTCTATAATGTTTCCGTTGACAGCTTTGGATCAGCAATAAATTCATGTTTATTCTGTTTCAAATCTTTGACTCATAATTTTGCTCCACTCTCAGTAAGGTAACAAAACTTTCAGTGACACGAGAATCTACAGCATCATAAAATCCTGTATCGATCAACTTGTTTTTTTTTTTAATATCTTTAGCCTCGTAAGAACATTTGTGACAATCGAGAATCCAACCGGCACATACATTACCAAATAAAGTTTTTAGTGGCAGGTGAATCTGGCGCATCATTAAATTCTTATATCCACTTGATTTAGTGATATTTAGTCTCAAAATAACTTTTGTGACCAGCAAGAAACTAACCGGCACATTTATTACCAATCTTGTCACCTGGTTGGAGATGGCAGCTAGAATCGTGCAAATCGAGGTCGTGCTCGTCTCCATGCAGATGGCGAGACGAGAAAATGTCTCGTAGATATTCTTACACTCATATGCACGAAAAAAAATCTAAGAGAACTACACCAAAAAATTATCACATACTCTCTGGAGAACGAGGGCAACATAAATTGAGAATGTAATAGTTTATCACGTATGATTTAAATAGCCTCTTTCGAGCATTTCATTCAAATTTCTTATATTTCAGCGTGCGTATCTACAGCGAAATTTCTCGTTAATCCATCCGGTCGGATTTGACACCAATAGCAGCTGCGGTAATTTTGTGGTATTTCGGACATGCCGGCGAGAATTAGGTCCCTGGCGTTCCGTGGTGCTGTCGTTGGGAGCAGGTATGTTAAACGGAAGATGTGCTCCGCTTGCGAAAGTAATTGACGGTGTTTTGTCTATTTCATTGCGGTCCTGCTTCAATATCAACATGCGATTTCAGCAAAATATTTGAGGAAAATATATTGATTAATATAAAAGCGATTGTGATATTCTGTAGAATTTGTACCAGCACAAAGTTTTTGCGTTTGGAATCAGAAACAATTACCACCTTTAGCAAAGACAGACACTGTATTAGTTCAGTTACGAGGTTTGCGGTCGAACTCGATCATCGTCCGAAACTCCATTGGACATTTCTTGTGACGAAATGTCACGTCCGCTTAGTGGGTTGAGCAGAGCGTTTCCTGTTGGAGTGTGGACGTGTGGCAGTTCTTAGCGCTCATTTCCTTGGGCTTGAGCTGAGGAGCAGCAGCAGCAGAAGCAGCCGGGCGGGCGGGCGTAGCTCAGCTGCTTCCACCGAAGATTTCTCTGGCCTACATTAAGGGCAGTGACCCCTCCGTCTGTAGTGGCTGCTTGGCTCCCCTACAGCTCCTATGGAAATAAACTTGTCTTCTCTACAGTACGACCTACCTTCTTATAACAAACACGTGTGATTACGTTTCATCATGTTAGTAGCGGAGAATACCTACACTTCAATATGTCAGGCACTTATTTAAATAAGTTACCCATAAAAGATTGGGAAGTGTGATTACAGAAGCATTGCAATAAACAATCATACCAAGCCGTCGCTCCACAATATAAGTAAATAACAATTATTTTTATTTTGATGGTCGGATTTACAAACCCGGTGTGATGTCTGATTTCAAGTTGTTTTCTCGAATAACTTTTCGGCTTGAAAGATGTATGTGACAGCAGTTAAAAGAAAAATGTTTAGATCAGATGGTACAGTCATGGCTGTTAGTGAGGTAAGGTCAATGACCTAGAATCTTCGAAATTACTATAGCCAAGATGTTTCTTAATATGGGAGCGCATGCTGACCAATATTACGGCCTGATGAGTTGTTGGCGGCAAGGATTGCCTGTGACGCAATCGTAACTCAGAAATCCTTACCACGTTTTCGTGCCTTTAGGAGGTCAGGCTAAATGTGACTTACTGAGAAATTGCTCGGACCGTCAAGTCACTAGTTTACTATGTTCGCTTATAGGGGATTTTAGCTATATATAAGGTTCATTTTTCCTGGAGTTGAGATGATGTTCCATTAAAAAATACTTATGACGTTATTTGCTGTGATTGGTCAATCTTATGATGTCTATTTATGCCTGGAATGTGCCCTTTTTCACTTATTTACTCAGAAAAAATTCATAAATGAAAATGTATTGAAAACCTTTAAAAATTAGTGGTAATTTTTTTTTCATTTGAACCAAGAAATACTTTCTCAAACGAGAGTGAGATCGCACTTAAAAATTTTCTGGAGTCCAGCTCATTTGAAAAATTTCTCTATGAAGTCTTTTAAAAGTCGTAATTAAGCGGCGTACTTGAAGAATACGAGTTAAGGCTTGCCACAATGTACGATTAACTTTATTCCAGATACTAATTCTAATAAAGTATTAAAAATTATGTGATAATAAAAATGTAAGTTTTTAGAAAAAAATTCGTTAAATCTCCCTATGAAAGCAGGACTCAATTTGATGTAGGTCGGTTATGTTAAGATTATTAATTGACTCCTAATTTCATGAAATAAAAGTCATCATTTTATATCCCGATACTTAGTTCAGAGTCTTAGGAACATTTTTGCAATCAGAATTATTTAAGAATATAATACATACATTAGTGTTTCATGCTCTACTACATGCCATGTCATACAAGTGTATAACAGACAAAAACAGACGCACTGAAGAATTTCAAGTTATTGTGATTCACATTTCACACTCATTCCGAATATTCCGATGAGGGAGTGATTATAATCTGATGAGTGAGCTGTGAGAAGATTATGAAGTGACCCAAATTCAGGTACCTCATTAACTAAATATATGTTCATCAGGCCTCACGCACGCGCTGGTACTCATTAAGAGATTTCCCCTGATTACGATCGTATAAGAAATCTTGTTATTAATTCAAGCTTCACGACACGAAAGTTTTGTATGTAAACTAGATATTTTGTCCCCGAAGTAAAATACTGAGACGCATCCTTAACAGACGATACATAGCACAAGCCAGGTAAATCTGACATTTATCAAAGCTCGAAGTTATAATTGCCTAAGAATTCTCAAATTAAACTTTATTTAGAGTCCATTTGTAGGTCATTTATCGAAAATAATATTGCGAGATGGAAAACTTTGATTACTGAATGCATGGCATGGATGATGACTTTCAACATTGAAATAGTACCAGGACTTGTTTAGTAATTCTATTGAGACGCGTGATCAGTTTGATGGTCATTCCTAGATTAACTAGGATCGGGTGTGGAGTGTAGAATAATAGAAGTTGTTTCAGTACACAAAGGCAGGTATATTATTTATTCAGTAATTAATGCAGGCATAATCAATAATCAGTTCAAAATTTAGCTCTGAAAATGCAAACGAGTTTCAATGTAACTGTACAATTTATTTTACTATTTTGCACTTAAACGTCTTTGAGAGACATTGTATCAAAGTACATTCTAATTTCTTCACTCAAATCAAACTGTAAACTTTGGACATGCACGATGTCCTGCGGCAATATTAAAGAACAAGTTGGATAGTAAATAAGACTTGTAGAAGCCATAAGGACGACAGCGCCATGCAAGCCGAGGAGTCGGTTCTGGCAACCCTCGCTCCACTGACCTCCTAAGCACTGCCTGGCCTACATTAGCCGCACAACCTCTGGTAT